TGTGTGTGTGTGTGTGTGTGTGTGTGTGTGTGTGTGTGTGTGTATATATACTTTGTATATATATTCATATATACATATTAAAAATATATATATATACATATCCATCCATTATCTTTACTCGCTTATTCCATTTTGGGTCATGGGGGTCGCTGGTGCCCATGTCCAGCAATCACTGTGCGAGGGGCGGGGTACACCCTGGACGGGTCGCAAGTCCATCACAGGGACACATAGAGACAAACGAGACAAACAACCATTCACTCTCCCACTCACACCTAGGGACAATTTAGAGTTACCAATCAGACTAACATGCATGTTTTTGGGCTGTGGGAGGAAACCGGAGTACCCGGAGAAAACCCACGCATGCACAGAGAGAACATGCAAACTCCACCCAGAAAGGCCCCTGGACCGGGGTTTGAACCAAGGACCTGCTCGCTGAGAGGCAGCAGCTCTACCAGTTGTGCCACCGTGCTGCCCATATATACATATATGTATATATATATATTGTAAGAGTTTTTCATGTTATCATTTTAAACTGCTTCATGACTCCTGTACTTCTGTGCATACAAAGCAAAAAGTTTCTGATACTATCAGTCCACATCTGAGCTGATAGTAATTCTCTGTATTTACATAAGCTGTTTTTACTTAGAACCGTTTGTTAAAATCCAAACATGTCAAAACGTATATCATACAATATCATGGAATAGTATTTTAATTTACAAATTTCAATTCAAAAAGTAAATATTTAATAAATTATAGATTCAGGGCCCACAATTTAAACAACTTCAAGGATTTATTTGTTTAGTTTTACATAATTTGGGCTTCCAGCTCATGAAATCCACGAAAACAGGATTTCAAAAAATTAGAATAATGTGGAGAAATCAGCCCAAATGTTTCAGGGCATGAATATTTTAAACTGAGTGTGACACTAATCATCTACTAAACTTAAAGCACCTGCACATGTTTCCCCAGGTGTTATTAAATTGCTTCAGTTTGGTTCAGTTGTCTCAGTTCAGTTCAATATGGGGAAGACTGCAAACATAACTGGCCAGAAGACTACCACTGATACCCTCCATAGGATGGGTAAGCCACAAAAGTTCATAGCTAAGGAGGCTGGCTGCTCACAGAGTGCTGTGTCCAAGCATATCAATGGAAAGTCTAGTGGAAGGGCAAAATGTGGCAGAAGATGCACCAGTAAAAGAGATGACCATGGGCTTCAGTGGATTATCAAACAGAGAAGATTCCAGAATCTGGCAGAGATCTAGAAAGAGTAGACTGAGGCGGGAGTCACAGCTTCAAAAACCACCATGTTCAAACGCATCCGGGAGATGGACTACAACTGTCGGGTTCCTCGGTCCTCTTTCCTGATAAAAGTAAAGTGTGCCTTTCATTCAGAAATCAAGGTCCAAGGGTTTGGAGGAAGAAGAGTGAGGAACAGAACCCATACTGCTTTAGGTCCAGTGTGAAATATCCACAGTCAGTCATGATTTGGGGTGCAATGTCCAGTGCAGGTGTTGGTAAACTCTGCTTTCTTAAATCCAAGGTCAGCGCAACAGTCAACCAGAATGTTTTAGAGGACTTCATGATTCCTTCTGCTGAGGATCTGCATGGAGATGCAGATTTCATCTTCCAGCAGGACCTGGCCCCTGCCCATGCTGCCAGGAGCACCAAGACCTGGTTTGATCCCCATGCCACAGTGCTTGACTGGACAGTCAATTTGCTGGACCTAAACCCCACTGAGAATCTATGGAGTATTCTCAAGAGGAACATGAGGGACACCAGACCCAACAACAAAGAAGAGCTGACAGCATCAAAGAAATCTGGGCTTCCATAACTCCCAGTCAATGCCACAGGCTGATTGCCTCAATGCCACGTTGCATCGAGTCAGTGATTAAGGCAAAGGTATTCCCAAACAGCTATTAAAGATTGACATGTCGTTTTGAAAGTACTAAAAACTAAGAAGTAGTGTGGGCTGATTTCTTCACAGTATTCTAATTTTTTTTTATCCCGTTTTCGTGGGATTCATGAGCTGGAACCCCAAATTATAAACAAGTAAATACTTGAAATGGTTTAAATTGTGGGCCCTGAATCTATTAAAGATGAACTTTTTGAATGGAATTATGGAAGTTGAACAACTTTTCCATGATATTCAAATTTTTGGGAAACGGTCTGTATATATATATATATTAAAATAAACTACTACTTGTACTACTATTCCTAGTTCGCGGTTTTTCACTTATCGTGGGTCTTCACAATATGGATCCCCCTCGATAAACAAGGGACTACTGTATTTACAGAATATTTTGACATTAAAAATAACTGAAATTGGCACTTTTTATTTAAAGAAAGTGCTTCATTCACTTCAATATCCAGCATAAAATATATCCATGATGATTTACAATCAAGCTTCCTTTAAACTTTTGGATTAAAGTCATAGTAGCTGTTAAAAATACATGAATTCTCAATGTTCTTGGCTTTACATTTTGTAAATGCCTTCAACTCACTTTTGTTGGGACAAAATGTGTTTACTGGAAACAAGTCAAAGGTCAGGATGACTTCCAGGCTCCTGTTGAGGTGGTTTCTTTCTTTGCTCAGCTCCTCAGTTTGGTTTGCCAGATTTCTCTGAGCTTCCATCAGTTGTTGCCTCTCATTCATCAGGACTTTGTTTTCATCAGTCCGATTCTGAATTTTGGCTCTGAGCTCTTCGATTGTTGCTCCGTGACTCTCCATCACCTTTGTGACTAGAAGCAACAGCACAACAACCAAGTCATCAAGCATCATTAAAAGAAAAAACACGTTTTAATGTTTCCTCGTTTGATTCTTTTTCAATTAGTTTTTCATTTGCAATATTTTGTTTTAAAATGGAAACCAGTCACGCATGTTTTGCTGATTCAAAGCTGCTGTAGTGATCCAATATTAACGTTAAACAGGAAGCTCACTTTGGATCAACAGGACGACGACGGCCACCATCAGAAGGACACAAAGCGTCCCCAAACACACCAACAACACACGAGTTGGACGTTTAGCTGCTGTTTCAGCTTCTGTTTAAAAAGAGGTCATAATTTTACACTGACAGGAAAGTTGTTAGATGTACCATTTGTGGGATTTCTTTTGATCTTCTTTTAAGTTTCAGTGAAAAACTCACCTGGTGCAGTGAACCCAGATGCTTTCAGTTGGACTTTAGAAACTATTTTCTGCTCTTTTTCTAAAAAATAAAAATAAAAACAATTTGAGGAAGTGATGAGGTGAAACAATCAACTCATTATAATCCTGTTTGTTCTATTGTTGGGAACATTTATTTCATTTTATGAACTAAAATTAAAAATGACTTTGATCAGCAACTGCAGGATCTTCTAGTGTTTCTACAGAATGCGTGGTCAGCTCCTTTTCTTCGGAACAAAAGAAATAAGATGTGTAAGAGAATTAGAGATCAAATATTGTGCAGGTGATAAAAGATGTTGTCATCTGCAACAATAAGCATCTCAAACACTCGTTATTGTATTTAAAGTGTTTTCATTTAAATCATATTTAATTATTCTGTAGTTTTTGGAGTTTGACTTCAGAATAAATCATAAATCAATCTTCAGGTCCTCCTACGTCTTGTTGAAAAGATCCAAATTATATCCGCCAGTAAACAAATCTATCCCATCCATACCATCCTTATTTGTTAAGTTGTGTTGTTTTATGAAATTGGTTAAATCCTGGAATCCAGGTGTTCTGTTTCTTGAGATGTTGAGGTGTTTTTCTATGCAAACTTCATCGCTGCTGTAGATGAACATATTCTGTGATATATTCATAAATTAAACGGATTCATTCATTTTTCTGGACTGAATAATATCGTGTATTGAATCTAATAAATGTAACGTGAGGCATTAATTTTCTTTGACCCATCAAATGAATGTGGTCATTTATTAACAGATGAATGAGGATAAAAATCACTAATACTGTTTCACAGCGGATTTAAAAATGAGTAGTTCACTTCAACATTTAAAAATGGTTTGAACTAAACACAATTTGATTATCAAAACATTTGTAAAATAGTAATGATAATAGAAAAAGAGAGTGTTCTTTCAATTGATCAGTGCAGGACACTTAGAAAGTCTTCTGGATGGACTTGATTTTGTGTTTCTGGACTCAAATCAATGAAATACAGTTCTTGTTCCAGGAAGGCCCCTCAAGGCCAGATTTTGACCTGAGGCTTGGTTCACTACACTGCGTATTGTACTGGTTAGACATTTACTGATAATAGGCTGTAAATTAGTAGTTTCGTGGGAGATTATGTAATTACTTCAGCAGTGTAACAGAAACAGACCATTTTAGAACGTAAGTCAAAGAAAGTAAAAGTTCAAGGTTGCAATTTCCAAATATAAAAATGGACATCCAGCAGCTCCAGTCTTTGCTGGATTTCTGAGCGCTACAACGAGCCAAGGCCAGCTGCTGTGGATCTAATTCAGCTGTCCTTTGTCTCTTAAACTGGACCAAAGAGGACCTTCTACTATATATAAATGGTAAATGGATTTATATAGCGCTTTTATATCTTATCAAGATACTCAAAGCTCTTTACAACATAATCTGTGCCTCATTTACCCATTCATACAGCACTCTACTAGATCTCTACAAAGAATAATCAGAGTTTTATCACATTCATACACCGATGGGACACACATCGGAGGCAATGAGGGGTTCAGTGTCTTGCCCAGAGACACTTCAGCATGTGACTGCTGGTGGAGTCAAACCCCCAACTCTTACATTGGAGGACGACTGATCTAACCACTCAGCCACAGCCGCCCATAAGAGCCAAGAACTAAGACGGACTCTATGCTAGTATAAAAAAGATATTCAGATAATCTGGGTTTGTCCTTATTTTAGTAAAATACATTTGATGTTGCAATAAACTATAAAACTAACTTGGTGCTGTAGTCACGGGCTTCTTTGATTTTACTTCAGAATAAATAGTCTGGTCATCTTGTTCTGAATAACACAAAAAAAATGTTTGAGGAACTGACAAAGGACATGGCAAAGTGGATAGATGTTTAAAAAATATTCACAGTAAGACAATACCGTTTAATTTAAAGCAGAGAGTTGACTAATTTAAAGGTAACACCAAGTTGTCAGGAGAATCAGGAGAAGGTGGTCCGATTTTTAAAACACTAACTTTGTTTATCTTAAATGCTAAATTTAATTTTTATAAATCTAAATCTCATCTAAAATATCTCATAAATTAATGTGACCACTTTAACATCCGGATATCTCCAAACAAAGACTGGTATTATAAAACTTGAGTAATTTACTTTGAGCAGAAACAGATAAACTAGACAAAATATACAACATGTTGTTCGTTCTTCTACACACATGAAAAACATTTTAATGAAACTGTTAAAAACTGCACACAGATCATGGAGCGTGTGCTACAAGTTTACCAAATCAAACCATCCAGAAGAGCTGACTTAACTTTGTCAGATTTTTCTACCTGGATTATTGAGCATGCATTTAACAAATCAAGTTTTATTTATATAAAAACATTGGAGCCACTCACCTTTTTGAGTTACAGTCGTGTTTTTGAAGACCAGTGAGGAGTAACTGGGATCTTCATCCATCTCTCCACACTGCTGTGGCTGCTTGAGCAGAAAATGACTTCAGTTTAACAGAAGCGGTTTATAAACATTGTTCTTGGGGCCCCAGAAAAAAAAAAAGTAGTTGCAGTAACAGTATATAAAGAACTAATAAGTTCCCTTTTTGCTTAAATGTTGAGTAAAGACCAACTTTAAACAATAGTGTTTTGTCACCTATTGTTATCATTAATAGGAAGTCTAATAAGGTTGAGTCAGGTCCTCTGGACGGATTCTTCTTCGTTGAAACATTTTGTCTTTTATCAAAAAGACTTCTTCAGACTGAGGAGCTGCAACAAATAATCGTATAAGCAGCACCTTCTCATAGTGGAGCAGCCAGTTTGCTGGTTATGTCCAAAACTATAAATAAATATAATAATCACAGTAATAAAAAAATCACTGTAATGTTGCTTTAGTTGGTGATACTGTATGTGACTTAGCTGTGCTGCTGATTATCCATGCTGCTGATCTCATGCTGCTGTATTCATTCATATCTATCTGCTCACCATGGACTCATGTTCGGGCTGCTGTTGTTATGCCGTGTTGTTTTACATTATTGGTGTTTAGCGTTTATCTTAGATCTTTCACCGTATGGTGTTTGTTTAGTGTATATCTTAGTGTATGTCTTAGATCCTTATTTACTGTTTCTTTTTATACTTTATATTTTGATGTCTTTGGGTGTAAGTGGGACCCTGTGTATATAATTTCATTCCACCTCTTGTACCACATGTGATGGATCAACAATAAAGATATTTGAACTTGAAATATTCTGTCTGTTGAGTAGACAAAGTATTAAATTCAGTTTGGAGTAACAAGCATTTTTTTCATTAGATCCTGTGAGGGGGAGTGGCTATATTCTCTGTCTAATTGTAATATTTCATCTATTAACTGTCCTAGCTATACCAAGACCTCCTTTTTTTGTTTGCACAATAAGAAATTATTTGACCCCTCAGGTAGGCCTTTAATGCCTCCCAGACTGTACAGAGTGCCATTCCTGGTGTTCAGTTAACTTCAAGAAGAAATACAATTTCAGATGTAAGGAATTTGCTAAAGTCTTCCTCGGATAAAAGTAAGAAGTTAAATCTCCAAGGACAATATACGGATTTTGTGACCGGGATAAGCAATTTCATCATAAGTGTACCATGATCTGAGATTACCATGGACCCATAGTCATGTTCTTTCACCAAAGGCAGAGTTTGTTTTTCAAGAAAAAAGGAGTCAGTTCGGGAGTACGTCTTATGAACTGGGGAAAACAATGAATGAACTAGGATTACATAAGCGACACACATCAGCCACACCATACAATTCAAGGAATGAATTGATTAATTGAGCGGATTTAGTCAGGGTAGTTCTTCCCATCGAACTACGGTCAAGAGATGAAAGCGCACAGTTTGTGTCAGCACAAGGTTATGTGTTGACATATTCTGGAAGTTTGAGAAGACATTATTAAAAAATGTAGAGTTGTCCCAGTTGGGAGCATATACTGAAACCAAGATCACTGGCAGTGTTTACAACTTCCCAGTACTATAACATACTGCTCTGCAGTATCAGCATGCACACTCGAGGCTGTAAATTGTACCTGCTTGAAACTATAATATCTACCCCTCTTGATTTGGATTGAAAATTGGATTGTGTAATGATTTCGGGAAAACCAGATTGGTACGAGACCCGGAACGAGACTAGACTCCACAAGGTAAAATCTTAACAGTGTTTATTATGTACAAGTGCAGATTTACACGTGGTCCTCTGGAGCCCATGGGAAACAAGGAGAAGGTCAGGTGGGTTGAAGTGAAGGTTGAATCTCGCAGCTGATCGTGTTATATTTTCTCTTACAGGTTTGATGGTTTGGGTAGAGCATCGAGGTGAATCCAAATGGGTCCAGAGAGAGAGAGATGACTTGGCACGGCAGGCAAGTGGTTGGAGGGCTAGGTACGAGGACGAGGAACAGAACCAAGACAAACCAGGACCTGCATGAATCCAAGGAGGCAGGATGACTGGGAACACAGAGAACAAGGTAAATGTCCTCTTATATATCAAAGGACAGGCTGAAGCATAAATACCATAGGAAAGCACAACGCTCCAGTGAAGAGTAGAAACTGGCTGCTGCCTTAAGTAGTTGAGGACCTCATCAGGGAGATGGCCGACAGCTGGTGGCAATTAGCGGCCATCTTGGAGAGAGGCGCTGCAGTCGGTAGTACTCTTACAGATTGAAACACCTGACCAGACAATTTTTTAACAAACTTTCCACTATCTAGAGAGCACACATGGGTTTCCTGTAAAAAGGCAATATCAGTGTTCAACTGTTTCAGGTGTGACATAATTTTCCAGAATTTTACTGGACCATTAAGGGATTTTACATTCCAGCTTACACAATTAACTGGACAGCCATTAGTGTCCAACATCCTTAACACTGGTCGTGGTTGAACAGCAAGAGTTAATTTACATACAAAATGTTGTAGCCAGTATCTAATACCATAGAAAACACAATCCAACCCTCTGGGCTCCTGTCTGCCCACATATGATACAATATAAGTAATAGTAATAAAAATTAAAAAAGAAACAACAAAATATGCAAATATTACTGTAAATATCAAACACGTACCTAACAAGGAGATAAATAAATTGAATAAAATTTTAAAAAATCTCTCCCATGTTACTGTGACGATGGACCGCGCATGGGAAGACATTTCACCAGACTCTTCAGAAGACTCTTCACCACTTGCTCAAGCCGAGATCGGATGCTTCCCTCCCTCCCTCTCTGCTTTGCTTTGCTGTTCTGTCTGTCTGTGAAACTGCTGTGAGACTCTCTTGCATTTCTTCCGAACCATAATTATGGACTCTTTTGATCAGTTGGTCCCTCAACTCAATTTACAACATTTCTTCAAAAAGAAGACAGGCTTTAGGCAGGTTGATTTGCCCTGTTGGCACGCACACAGCTGGACATCTCATCGACTTGGACGACTTGATGATGTGTCTATCTCTGCTGTCATCTGTGGATTTTAAGGATGCATATTTAATTGGATTTTCGATAACTGGTTCCTGCTATTTTGGATTCAGCTGGTGCTGGTTTTTATCTACAAACAAGGAAGTCATCGGCAGCAAATTTGGACCCGATCATTCTGCTTGCCTTTTTGATGGCTTGGTTCATGTCTCGTGTACCCAGACTCAAATGCTTTGGGCTGAATGGATCAGATCTCGGGGAATTTACTCAGTCACGTTCCATCGGTGTGGCCATGTTATTTTGGACATTTCAGAACTGAGTGGACCAACACAGACTCAAGGTAGATGTCATTAAGTTCTGCCTGTCCCCAAAACAACTGTGTGTTCATCTAAGTTGGCTCCACTTGGCTGGCCTTGAAGGCCACCTTATCTGAATTTGCCAGGAGAAAATGTGATCTGACGCTCACCACCCCATCCCTGAGGAATTTCCAACTGATGACCAGATGAAATCCAGCTGAATAAACTTTGTGTCATCATTTCAGGACTCGGATTCTCAGAGGTTATTCTTGGCCATTTCTCGACATACCTTGAGGATGTTTATGGATCTCACCAGAGGACATTGATTGATTACAGTGACCTCGAGAGCATCTATAAGCGTTGTTGACCGCTCTCGTCTCCTATTGCAGAATGTCTATGTAAATATGTGCTTGTTTGTGCGAGGTGTTTTTTTTTATATTAGAGGGGGTTTTTTTCCCTCAGGCAAGAAAAAAAAAGTCTGATAGAATTTTTTTTCGCCTCCAACTCCTATATGTGTCCAGTTAACCACTGTTTTTTTTGTCTGTCCAAACAGTTCTCACTTGTAAATGAGTCTTCGAGGCTCAATGTGATTTATATGTTTAAATAAAGGTTGAATGAAAAAAAAATGCTGCCTTCGTCTTTTTTAGTTTAGAGGCCATATTGCAGCTCTGTTGAGCCAATCATGTGGTGACACCAATTTCATTGGCAACATCCAGCATGGAGGTGGCGAGGATATAACCATAAAAGGCAGTTTTTCAGCAGGGCTGACGGGAGCCTAGCAAATCACAGTTCACTGCGCCACCGCCATGTTGCACTCCCAAACTCCGTGCTATTTTTTTGCCCCTATGAGTTTTTGGAATCACCTTTAACAAATACTGACTGAAATTTGGGTTTTGTAGTAACACATCTTTTTTTCCACTAACAGATGTCATTACATATTCGGTGTCAAATCTGTCTGCTAGCCAAATATTTTATGAATCATTTGATGGATTTTAGTGAAACTACAGGAAATAATTATTGGATGCATGTCTCTAACTGGCCCTGTGAAGGACTTGCGACCTGTCCAGGGTGTACCCCGCCCCTCGCACAGTGATTGCTGGACATGGGCACTGGCGACCCCCGTGACCCAAAATGGAAGCAGCGGGTAAAAGATAATGGATGGATGGATGTCTCCAACTGTGTGGGATTCCTGGGTTTTTTGTCTGTCACTCACTCTTCCTTCCACAGCCAATTAACCTCAACTCACTCCACCTGCTGCT